AAAAAATTAGTAAAAATGTCTTTATAACCCTAAAATAGCATGAAATAAATAGAAAATTTGTTTGTTTTGAATGTCAGATCAAATTATAATTTCACTTGTTAAAAACACCAGTTCTTATTCTTTCACTTGTGACTACTCCAGTCTAAGACAATATTACACATGGTGTTCATTCTGTGAAATATATTTCGATATTGCAAATCAAACAATTATTCTCTATCTATTATATCTTAATAGTTTCTCTTTTTTTCTCTTTTGGTTGAGATTTCAAATCAAATCAATGCTGTTAAGGTGATATGGAAATATTTCTGACTAAAATGGTGGGGAAAGACCTTAAATGACCCATTATATTGGGAAGACCACTAACATGTTATAACATAATAAATTGATGAAAGAATATTAAATACTGACCTTATTATTTCCAGTTTTAAGAACAGGAGCTGGAACATAGAGAGTTCTCTGTGGACCTTCTTTCCAGTATCTTCCCAGGTTAAATCCATTGATAAATGCATTACCCTTTGTCCAACCCTGTTTCAATGTATACAAAAACGATACATGTATTTCTTAATATATAAAATATAAGTTACCACAAATATGTAGACAAACATTAAAACGTGGAAAATAGGCCAAAAAAATAATTAAGTAAAACACCATTCAGTATAAATACACTGTCAGCAATTTTTCTACACCTGCACATTTATTGGTGCATAGAGTATTAATTCAATGACAAAACATTTCCACAAGACTGACTTCTTGGTGAAGTAAATAGAACAGACAAATAATGCTTTTCTCTCTTTTAAGCCTTCACTGGTTATCTAGCATTTAGTTTTGGAAAAAAAACTCGTCTTCAAAGAATAAAAGAGCCTTTTTCATATAGCATTACATAAAATGAAAATGAATAAATAATAATGGTTGAAAGATATTCATCAGACCAATTTAACTCGCACAGATACTGCTCAAATGAAACACTTTCTTGTTTTACTGGTGGAGGGAGAACTCCAGTGCCCCTCTGTGTATGAGTTCAAGCACATGGGGGCACCTGACTCAAACTATTGTCCATCAACTGTCTGTAAGCTAGCCAGATTGTTCCTTCCCATGAAAGAATTCTAATTCCCAACACTTAAAGGATACAAATCCAGTAGAAATATTTTTCAAGATCATTTTATTGCAAAATACCATAACATCTACAGAATCCAAAATTTGAGTTTCAGTGAATTAAACAACCAACCTTCATATTAAGGAAAGTATCTCTGGGCGTAGCATCTATCCTCAGATTGGCAGTATAAAGGGAGGCTACTCCACCATCCCAGTTTGTAAATGTCTTCCACTTATGATTATCAGCCATACTAAAAAGAAAACATAATCACAACATTAATGGCTGCTTATAAAATGTAAGACTTTGATTATTACAAATCTGAAAATTACATTTAAGATGATATCACAAACATCTGAGATAAAACTTTTTCAATAGAATATGTTAATTATATGAAATTAATTATACAAAACTCTCTCTATAATAACCCTAAACCTTCAATCTGAACTTGATGCAAAACAATTCATTTTTGTTTGTTTGTTTATCTGGCTTTTACATCTATCTAAAGAACATTTTTGGTCACATCTTGGCAGTTAATCCACATAACAAGCTTTCCGTGATAACTAACCAGTACACACAAATTCCTCCACAAGTGACCAACTGATCACATGATTTCTGAATGAGCAATGAACAACAAGTTACCATTAATGTCAATGTTCAAGATCAATTGTCCCTAGAGAAACGCCTTGCCTGGGGATCAAACCAGCCGCCACTTGGTTACAAATCTGATGCTCTGATCCAAGATATAAAACACAATTTAAAATCAGGTGAACCAGATGGAAACAGTATTAGACTTACCTATTGTACAATATTTTTAACACAATAAAAGCCTGAAGGTTACAGAGTTTTTGTATAATTACCTATTAACGTAATCTTCTTTAAATTCCATAGGATATATTCTCCAGTTAGAAATTACACTTCCATCTAGCTTCACGTCACCAGTTATACCTAGTTAAATCAAAAACAATAATGTATATATCAATTTATAACATGTGCATACATAACATGTGAATATATAACATGTGCTTATATTTAACAAGTCCACATCTAACTAACACATTTATTACATGTGCATATGTAACATGTGCATATATAACATGTGCATAATTTGCATGTGCATATATAACAAGTGCATGTATAACATTAGCATATATGACATATGCATATATAAAATGTGCATTCATAACAAGTGCATATATAACATGTTTATATATACAAAATGTATAACATGTGCATGTATAACTAAAACATATAACATGTGCATATGTTACATGTGCAATATATAACGTATATTTAACATGTGCATATATAACAAGTGCATACATTTATTTTTATTTGAAAATTTTACAAATTTACAGTTTCAGCAGATTCTTTAGATAAATAGGGAATAATCATGAAATAAGAAACCAAACTGAAACAAGAGCCTGGTTTGAGCCGGGTAATGCTCCCCGAATAGGTGTTGGACACAGGAAAATGCACCTCTCAGAGTTATGTCCCTGGAAAAAGTTCAAAGTGCAATAATTCCAAAATAAGGCAAGGCAGAGTTACTGTTCTTTGCACTGCACTTTTTATCAATTTGATCTATCAACCTACAAAGTTTCTTGTTGATACCTCTTATGGTTTTTGAGTTAAGTCACGGACAAAGTGCAAAATGTAACAAGAGCTGTCGGTAGGACCGCATGCTCGACTATTCTTAATGCTTGATAGTAAAAGAGCCCTAGTGTCTACAGGTTGGGTCATGATGGTGAAAGTCATAAGTGTGCAAAGTTTCAAAGCCATATGTCAATGGACTTTGGAAATGTTTGAGCTATTACAAAAACTTTAACATAAATTCTAAGTTGCAAAAGGGGCATAATTCTGTCAAAATGCTTGATACAGTTACCTCCTCCTGTCTACAGGTTGAGGTCATGATGGTGAACAAGTGTGCAAAGTTTCAAAGCCATATGTCAATGGACTTTGAAAATATTTAAACTATTACAAAAACTTTAACGTAAATTCAAAGTTGCAAAAGGGGCATAATTCTGTCAAAATGCTTGATACAGTTACCTCCTCCTGTCTACAGGTTGAGGTCATGATGGTGAACAAGTGTGCAAAGTTTCAAAGCCATATGTCAATGGACTTTGAAAATATTTAAACTATTGCAAAAACTTTTTTTTAACATAAGTGGTTATGTCGACGCTCGGGTGACTACAATAGCTCTACTTATTCTTAACGAATAGTCAAGCTAAAAACCAGGCAAAATAGAGTTATGGTTCTTTAACACTGCACTCCCCCCCCCCAATGCCCTCTACCACTGTATGAAGTTTAAACAAATTATCTCCAAGGGTTTTAAAGATATGTTCCGGACAAGACAAGGTGGCGACTATATGCTCTCCCTTTTAGGAGCATAAAAATGTTGGTTTGCATTGATTTCAGATATAGATTAAAAAATAACTAGATAAAACAGATATGGACTTTTTATCTGGTGACCATGATGTGACAAGCACTGAAATATTAATATTGACCTAAGCTAGATTATTTCTTTCAGTTCATATCTTATTCTCCGCAAAAAAGCCCATATTTGTTTACTTCTACAGAAAGGAAGGACAAACACATGGACAGGTAGTTTACCTTTGGTTTAAACATATTTATTTAAGCTTGATTGCAAAACAGTTTCTTGTGACTTATATTAATCACTTTCAAGTCTGCTTCCTGGAACTAACCAGTACTGGTTTCATATGAAGAAACATGGCCGTGACCCAATTAGGGCTCGAACCAATGATCCCTGGGTTGTCAGGCAGACACATTAACCACTAGGGCACCACTCCCCGAGCTTACCTTTACTCTCTTCATTGAATCTGTTAAATCCCATCATGACATAATTGACTCTACCATGATGTTCAACCAATATATCCAGTATGTTCTCCTGTTACGATATATAATGATATATTCAAATCTGTATTTCAATTTACACAATGAAAACGTTAACTTTACAAAACATAATTGCTCACGTCATAAGATTTAAGCAAATGTTCAGCCTCACCCAAACTCGAACCTGGCATAATGGGAATACTGTTTTCCAGCTTTACCAACTGAGCCTTTTTTTTTACAGGTTGGGTTTTACATGGCACAAATACAATAAAGGTCATATGGCAACTTCCCAGCTTTATTGGTGGAGGAAGACCTCAGGTTCCCCTCTATGCATTATTTCAGGCATGATCATGCACCTGCGTAGAACCATCAACGTGCCTTAAAACCAACTGAGCTACTCAGCTGCTACTCTGTAGCAGGCAACAAAAAAATGAATATGCTGGGAAAACAGAGTGAGTGAATAATCTGAAATTTAGCACACAAGTTGTTGGTCCACACAACCATTAAAATGGTACTCAAAAAAATAATTTCCAAGACAGTCAGGGTTTTCATGATGAAGAAAGACTTACAGAATCTAGGACATTTTCTGGAATATCAATTTCCCATCTTGTTGATTTCCAATACAGCACACCAATTTCTTTCCCATTCATTATCACCTAAAATTAATAAAAAATATGTTTATCAAAATTTTCTTTATCAATAAAGCACATATATTTTTGTGATCTGCCTTGACTAAAATTTGCAACTTTACTATTGTATCAAACAAATATAAACAAATTTAAAACTTAAAATAAAAACGCTTCTCTTAATAGCATACAAAAATTATTGCTATCACATGACATTGCTTGTTTTCAATGTAATATAACCATTATGAATTTTCTAAAAAATAGTTTGTCTTTTTTGACATTTCCTTGCTTAAAATGTCACATGCCAAAAGAATTATACATTCAGAGTCATTTTATATGAAGACTGATATATAAATCTTGTACACAGTGTAACACTTGCTAAAATTTGTTTATTACACGTTTTTATTGATGACTTGGGTAAATGTTGACAGATAAAAAACACATGCTATTTTGACCTTGACATTACAAATTTTCAATATCATTCTGGCCATAATTAATGCATGCATCAGAAAATGCTGACACTTTCTACTAACACTAAAATGGAGATTAATAGTTAAACTAAGTGAATTTTCTAGCAATACAGTACAACCTCTGGACAGGTTACACTGTATATAAAACTATTCACAACCAGAAGCACAAACCTGAGCTCTATCCTGGGCAGGTACGGTAAATGTCAGTTTCTTTCCTTTAGGTACATATGCCCTGTACAAAATAAAGCCAAAATTCTGACCATATCCATTGTGTAAATCTAGCATCTCCATTGGGACGGGTTTGTCTGAAGATATTGCCTGAAACATAGAACAATACATAAGCCTTTAATCTGTGGTGGCATGGCCGAGTTAACACGTCAGACTAGTAATCTAAGGATTGCTGGCTGCATGGGTTCGGACCCAGTCAGGGGCAAGCTGTTGTTTACTTGAGTAAGAAGCTTTACACTCATTGCTCAGTACTGGTTGGTTCCAGGCTCAGATTCAATTATAGCTTACAACACAATCAAACTAAAATAAATTTGAATAAATAAACCTTTAATTTGCTGGAGTTATCCTGCTTTGAATTTTTTATGGTCCATTTAAACATTTGAGGATACAAAAATTAAGCAACAAACAGCATAGAGCCTGTTCAGACTGCAAAGATCTAACTTCTTTTGTGGCATACTGCACATATTATTCACTTTCAAATCAACTTCCTTAACTAACAAGTATCAGTTTCAAGGAACTAAAATTATAATTTTTCCCTCCAGAAGTTCTCAAACCCATGACCCCCGGCCCTGGGTTAAAAGAAAAACATCTTAGCTAGGCCATGGCAAATGTTTCCAAAGTAAAACTAGAACTGCCACTATCATGGCGTGAATACCCCCGCATACCACTTTGTCAGAATCAACAGTGGCCATTTAGAGCTCAAGGACAACCTCCCTGCCAAATCTGAGGTTACTAAGCCAGTGCATTGCTAAGTTATGTATTCTACATGCTTCAAATGTGAAAATGTCAAAATCAATATATTGCGGACAGGACATTCTTTAACAGTTAAGAAGAAAAGCTTTTTTGTCAAGGTCCCTGTGACCTTGACCTTTGACCCAGTGACCTCAAAATCAATAGGGGTCACCTTATAGTCATGATCAACATCCATGCCAAATATGAAGACTGTGGGTCATAAATGGGTGGACAAACTTTTTGAAGTCAAAGTCCCTGTGACCTTTGACCTGGTGATCTCAAAATCAATAGGGGTCATCTACTTATCATGACTAACCTCCATTCCAAATATGAAGACTGTGGGTCAAAGGAATCTTAAGTTATTGGGCGGACAAGCTTTTTGAAGTCAAGGCCCCTGTGACCTTGACCTTTGACCTGGTGACCTCAAAATCAATAGGGGTCATCTACTTATCATGACTAACCTCCATTCCAAATATGAAGACTGTGGGTCAAAGGAATCTTAAGTTATTGGGTGGACAAGCTTTTTGGAGTCAAGGCCCCTGTGACCTTGACCTTTGACCTGGTGACCTCAAAATCAATAGGGGTCATCTACGAATCATGACTAACCTCCATGCCAAATATGAAGACAGTGGGTCATAGGAATCTAAAGTTATTGGGCGGACAAGGTTTTTGAAGTCAAGGCCCCTGTGACCTTGACCTTTGACCTGGTGACCTCAAAATCAATAGGGGTCATCTACTAATCATGACTAACCACCATGCCAAATATGAAGACAGTGGGTCATAGGAATCTTAAGTTATTGGGCGGACAAGGTTTTTGAAGTCAAGGCCCCTGTGACCTTGACCTTTGACCTGGTGACCTCAAAATCAATAGGGGTCATCTACTAATCATGACTAACCACCATGCCAAATATGAAGACAGTGGGTCATAGGAATCTTAAGTTATTGGGCCGACAAGGTTTTTGAAGTCAAGGCCCCTGTGACCTTGACCTTTGACCTGGTGACCTCAAAATCAATAGGCGTCATCTACTAATCATGAGTAACCACTATGCCAAATATGAAGGCTGTGGGTCATAGGAATCTTAAGTTATTGGGCGGTCAAGAAAAAACCGACGGACGGCCGGACGCCGGACGGCCGGACGGACAAGCTGATTCCAGTATACCCCCCTTACAACTTTGTTGTGCGGGGGTATATAAATAAAGTAAATCAAAACCCATGTTAAATAACACATTGCCAATTTGGTAAGGTAACTATGTCATATGCTTTGTTTTTGTAAATTGTTTGGGTTTTTATTTGTTTGGGTCGTCAGACCAAACAAATAATGGTAGCGAAATTTCAGAGTCTAATGTTGTTAATTGCAAATGCCGAAAGTAGTCCACTTTTTTGAAGCGGTTACTTCCCTTTTGTATGTACACTAAAGCCGAAAAATTCAGGGGAGATCACTGCGTAAAGATGGTCAAAGACAGGCGCATCAATTTTCAAGCAAAGTAATTCCTGAATGGTCGAAGATTTTTAATATTGTTTTATTGTATTTTCTAATCGAAAATAACTAAATACAAAGCGGACATTCAATCTCTGACACAGAAGTTTACGACGAACCTAATAACAAGTAGTTCTCAAAACAGCTTAAAACTAGAACTGCCACTATGATGGCGTGAATACCCCCGCATACCACTTTGTCAGAATCAACAGTGGCCATTTAGAGCTCAAGGACAATCTCCCTGCCAAATCTGAGGTTACTAAGCCAATGCAATGCTTCAAATGTGAAAATGTCAAAATCAATACATTGCGGACAGGACATTTACTTTAGCAATTGAGAAGAAAAGCTTTTTTTTTGTCAAGGTCCCTGTGACCTTGACCTTTGACCCAGTGACCTCAAAATCAATAGGGGTCACCTTATAGTCATGATCAACATCCATGCCAAATATGAAGACTGTGGGTCATAGGAATCTAAAGTTATTGGGCAGACAAACTTTTTGAAGTCAAAGTCCCTGTGACCTTGACCTTTGACCTGGTGACCTCAAAATCAATAGGGGTCATCTACTTATCATGACTAACCTCCATTCCAAATATGAAGACTGTGGGTCAAAGGAATCTTAAGTTATTGGGCGGACAAGCTTTTTCAAGTCAAGGCCCCTGTGACCTTGACCTTTGACCTGGTGACCTCAAAATCAATAGGGGTCATCTACTTATCATGACTAACCTCCATGCCAAATATGAAGACTGTGGGTCAAAGGAATCTTAAGTTATTGGGCGGACAAGCTTTTTGAAGTGAAGGCCCTGTGACCTTGACCTTTGACCTGGTGACCTCAAAATCAATAGGGGTCATCTACTAATCATGACTAACCTCGATGCCAAATATGAAGATTTTGGGTCAAATGAATCTTAAGTTATTGGGCGGACAAGCTTTTTGAAGTCAAGGCCCCTGTGACCTTGACCTTTGACCTGGTGACCTTAAAATCAATAGGGGTCATCTTCTAATCATGACTAACCTCCATGCCAAATATGACGACTGTAGGTCAAAGGAATCTTAAGTTATTGGGCGGACAAGCTTTTTGAAGTCAAGGCCCCTGTGACCTTGACCTTTGACCTAGTGACCTCAAAATCAATAGGGGTCATCTTCTAATCATGACTAACCTCCATGCCAAATTTGAAGACTAAGGGTCAAAGGAATCTTAAGTTATTGGGCGGACAAGAAAAAACCGACGGACGGCCGGACGGCCGGACAGCCGGACGGCCGGACGGACAAGCTGATTCCAGTATACCCCCCTTACAACTTTGTTGTGCGGGGGTATAACTAGCGATTTAAAAGAAAGAAATATTTTATTTTGTTACAAGTATCCAACAAATTACAACGCATTTAAAGTTAAACAATAGCGTTGGCTTATAGAATTGTCAATAAAGGCACAATCACAAATTACGCGGATGAATATGATTTTATCAATGAAAATACTATTTATTACCGAATACTACACAAACCGAGTAGTGGAATATATAGATTCTACATGTCGGACTGTTTGGGCGAGAGGATTTTTGCTAAAATATTTACTTCAATTTTAAACAACAGGTTTACCCTGAACAAAATACCTCGAAATTAATAAGGATTACAAACCCGAAATGCAATGAAAGTTCTAAATTTAGAATGACTTGATATTATTCAAACATTCTGTGTATAACTTCTCCGTGGTACATTGGTAACGCGCTCGCTTAGTGAGTGAGAGGTCTCGAGTTCGAATCCCAGTCGAGGAAACTTTTTTTTTTGTTAAATTCTTTTTTAAGTGTTTTTGTTAAGGAAGTAGCCATGATATGCAAGGATAAAGTGTGACTGTCGTAAAAAATGAACATAAATGATTTTTTGATGCAACTCTAGTTATGCAGAATTCCGTATGTATCAAACTCTGGTGCCTTGCAAAATGAATTATAATACATAAAAATAAACCTATACAGAAAAATGCATACAGATATACAGTACGATTTAGATTGCAAAGATCAGAAAATACCACAGAACTTGCAGCCCTTTGATTCTTTATAAATATAAATGCTTATAGTAAGCTCCAGGATTATTTACATCTGTGTTAAACAACAGTTAAAGTCGTTACAAGCCCTAATTTAGAATAATATGGTTTTCTTCAGCCCGTTCACATATAAATTCACCGTGGCTGAAGGGTTTTCGGGCTCGCTTAGGAAGCGAGAGGTCTGGAGTTCAAATCCCAGTAAAGGTAACTCATTTTTTTTCAAATTGTTAAAGTCAAATAAACATTGGATTGAATATCAGTGTTGCAATTAGTCTTATAGCCAATTTTAACGCTGGAAAGCATTGGTGGCACTATATATACATATAATCTCACAACCTGCACCTTTCTTACATTCTGAGACCCAAACAAATTCAGCGCCTTCTGTGCTTTGATTTTATTCTCCACCAACTAAGATATTCATCAATATTTTGGTTAATAACATATTGGTAATTAATTATTTAAAAGATATCAGGGTATAATTATGCTAAAGCTACTACGTATATATTGAAGTTATAGAATAAATAATTAATTTAACCTTTTGTTCCAATATTTACTATAAAAATTATAAACATATTGAATGTGAGTGTGACTAGAATCAGAAGGGATATACAGGATATATGGTGAAAATTGTTTTGTAAGTATATGATTTTTACATTCTAAAAAAAATTTAAAATTTTATCATTTTTCAATAAAGCGTATTTAATTTAAGTTTGTTTTAAAGAAAACATTGTAAGATTTGTAAGGTTCTTTCATAACTAAACTTATATTGCGGTTTTGTTCATAAAGACATTTTTGCCTGTAATTAAATCAATTGAATTTCATTTTTGAAGGAAAGCAATGAATTATATTATCTATTTTTATCCCAGTTTTACAGGTTTGAAAGACATTGTAGTGCTTAATTAATATATAATAATAATAATAATAATAATAATAATAATAATAATATTTTGTTGGAATCTAGGAATCTGCCAATCAAGTTAGCCACAAATAATCAAACTTTTACAATACAAAATATAACTTGTAAATGAAACAACTCATTAAATACTGACCCTAATAGAGACTTATAGTCTTCTCAACTCTAAATAATTGAAGATTTTTATTCTGATATCCCTTAATTTTAACAATGGATTGCTCCCAATTATAAGTTAGGCAAGTCCATTACACATTTTTGACAGGTTCAAATGTGTAAATTTCAAAAAAAAAAAAAAAAAAAAAATAGATAAATAAATATTCTGAAATTTTATCCACAGAATTTCATCATGGACATTTTCAACTGACATATACAGGGTATTATTCTTGGATACTTCTTTTAAGTTATTAAAGAAAAATATCACTTTGGCCTTTATAAATAATAAATAAACTGAAAAAAAATCAAAGAATGTTATAAATAATGGAGAAAAAAGTATCTCTCCTTATATATAATTTAACCAAATTTAAAGTCGCCTAATTTATACGCTGGTAATTTGATACTGTTACAATGTCATAGTTCAATGGTTTTGTTGAAACAATAGTTTATATTTGGTTACAATATATTATAACCTGGCAAAGTGTTAAAGCCGATAAACGGCTAAGATAGATTTTAACTGATTTTATCCATAGCAAATTAATCGAGGGATACAAACAGAAGTGTTTACAGGTTTGCTTTTGTCTTAGTTATATTTAATCGTTTTCATGTTGTTGTTTTTTTTGTGAAATAAAATCCTTTTTAAAAGAAAATAATTTAACAACAAAAAGTAAAACATGCTTAAGCATGTCAGTAACTGTTCTTTAACTTAACAAAAAAGAAAAGTGAGAGAAAAACATTATTTCACAAACTAGAAAACTTATTTTTTTAAGTAGAAAGTGTTTTAAATACATGTACTTAAAACATTGTAAAGTTAGTAAAAAATAAAGAAATTTAAGCTAGCATAAGGCACAAACAATTCACATAAATAACATGAAAATGTGTTCAAATATGCAAGAATAGCCCTCAATCTGATTAGAAATATGGAGATAACTTGTTCATATTTTGCAAGTGGCATGTAATGGATTTAAGATATTTGACATGTCTTAACACGATATTTTTCATCATATTAAAGTTTGAATCCCTTAATTTTGTACCCTTTTTAATAGGCATGCAGTTTTAATTAAATATTTGTCACCATGAATATGTGGATAGTACCTGTGGGTCTGAAAGTTACTGGCTCTTACAACCAGTATTATCTGTATAGAGCCAGGCCAGCTTGCACACCCATTTATTCTTACCAACCAGGCTCTATAATGTTGGCTAACTTTAATAATTTTTCATCTTTATATGCCTAAAACTAACAATGGGCATTTCTGAAAAATGGAAACTATAAACAATTCTATTTCAGAAATTCGGCAGGTTCAAATCTTGAAATAAATTGAACTCCATAATCTCTCAGAATTCAGTGTATCATGAATCATTTCATCTATTTTACAGAAAACATGGCGTCTACCGCAAGATCTCAGAAAAGTAAGAAATCTATGTTATCAGTTGAAGTTGAGTTTCCCTGTGGACCATGTAAGGCAGACAACAAGAATCTTGAAGCATTTGGTTTTTGCCAGTTCTGTAAACACTACCTCTGCAAATCTTGTTATAGCTATCACTCCAATCTTGGAAAAATTCACATCTTACTAGACCGGGAAACCATGCCGAGAGAAGCACCCACTCCAGTTTTAACCTCTGACCCACTTGTTGAAACATGTAAACAACATAAACACAAGACCATAGAATTATACTGTAAGAACCATGACGAAGTTTGTTGTGTTATATGCGCTACAAGCAAGCACAAGCCATGCGAGTGTTTCTACATTCCAGAATACACGGAACAATTAACACAATCACCAGCTGAAGATTGCTCCCTCATTCTAAAATTGATCAAAGCTCTGATTGGACAGTTTGAAAATGTACGATCAGAGTCAGCCACACGCCTGAAAGATCTGGATCGCCAAAAGCGTGAATTTAGCATGGCCGTTAGAAAGTACAGGAAAGAGATAGACTTTGCTCTAGAACAACTCGAGAAACAGGTCATCAGCGGGATGAAACAAGTTGTCGATATAAATACCAAAGAAATAAATGATAACATCACAAAATGTGACGAGGCACTTAAAGCTTTGAACGAAACAGTAACTGATGCCGAAATGGCTGTCGAATCAAGCGGAACCAACAGGGTGTTTACACTTTCTAAAATTAGCAACAAATTACTACAAGAAAATAATGTAGTTCTGAAATCAGTGCGTTCTGGTAGTGTAAATTATGAGATAAAATTTGAAGAAAATACCGAAATTCTGAAAAACATTCGTAAAACAAAACAATTCGGCAAAGTTTCGGTAAAGAAGGAACAAGTAAGATTTGAAGATGAACAGTTAGAGAAAGGAACAGAAAATGATAATAAACGCAAAAGTCCAAAAAGTGCCAAAAGTGGCGATAGTTCATAGCATGTATGGAAATTATTCATTGTTGATACGTTTTGAGAAAATATCCATATTAAAACGGAAACACATTTTCATTAGTACAAGTGTTGAAACCTATTAGTAAATTATATTTGTGATGCATGTGAGACCGTTTTAATACACTACACTAAATTCTTTTAGTTACAAACATGTTATAATTATGTTATTTCACTTTTTTGCAAATGTACCTGTTTCTAAAGATATATATGTATAATGTTATTTTGCACCAATTTTACTGCCATTTTGTCTATTTTATCTGTGAAAGCTGCAGCTTCAAATGAACTTCTCTCAAAATGTTATTAAATTTTTTTTGCAAAATGTTGATATAATGCACAAAAACCAAACAATTTTATCTGATACTCATATTTTATTAATTTCATATTTACTGTATATCCATGTATGTACATGCATATTGTTTAAACAGTTTTCCAGGTCTCAAATACATTTGTACATACAAGAACTGTCTACTAATCATTTAATTCATGTAATGTGAAAGAATACTTTTAAAAACATGCGTATGAAATCAATAATGAAAACTCAAGAAATTTTCAAACCCTAACCCTGATAAAATTTGTATAATTTGAAACAGTGGATTCTTATTTAAGTATCTTCAATGTCAAAAAGTTTCATTTGAACAGTCAATAATTCATGAAACTGTCGCAAAAATTATCATGTAAAAATAGGCGTCACTGGCAGAACTCAAGAAAATGTATCCACATATTAAGTATTAAATTGTCATAATTCTAATAACATGCTAACATTCTGATACAGACTTATACATGTAGCCCTAAAATGATCATTCTAAAAGATAACTCTTTATCAGGAATTAAGAGAATTTATGAAATCTATGTCAGCACATAAAGTTAATGTTATCATTATTTTGTATACATTTTACTGTCATAAGCGTATTTACAAATATGATATTTCCATTAAGCAGCATACCTCCAGATTCATGCTAAATTTTGAAAATGTATTTAAAAGTGAAATATTGTGAAGTGAACAAAAAAGAGGTTATTTACACACCTGCCCTTACTGCATTAGTCAAGTAATACATATATGGTAACAAATACTTCACAGTCAATCATTAATCACAAAAAACATGTACATTATTACTTGAAACTTATATCTTTTTACTTTTCTTAAAATCTTAGTATATATATTTTTCTCATGTTTGATTATCTAGAATAATCCTGGCTCATCTAGAGGCTTGCAGCTTTAATGTAAAGGTAAATCTCACATTTAGTACATTCAGTACAACCTCTGTTGAGCAATACCCTTTGGGAGACAAAAATAAATATTCTGGTTGTTAGTGAGAGTTGTTTCTCTAACGGAGGTTTTACTTTCTTGTTAAGTCTTACGTTGGGAATAGCTACTTCTGAAGGTTATTGTTCTACAGAGTGCCGCCGTGCAGATGTTACAATGTTTTTCAAGAGCTTGAATGTAACAAAATGTTGCCTCATTCAATAAAATATCATCAATATGTTTATAAAATGTTGTGAATTCTGTCTATTCAGTAGTGATTAACTTTTACACTATTAACTCTGTAAAATGTTTTGCATTTGAAACAGCTGATACATGAATCGTTGCCTCAGTAAGAATTTAGTGCAAATTGCAAGACAAATAAAGATGCTGATACCGTTATCCGACACTGACAATATTCTACCTTATTATAATTGATTAAAGTTCAGTTCATTGACAGTTTCAAAAATACTTTTCGGTAAAAAACTAGAAATGTGTCCATAGGACACGGATGCCCCCACACGCCACTGTTCTGTCAATCTTATGACTCTAGGTCAAATATTTTTTGGACTACATGTGCCACAAGTTGAAAACTAAAAATCAACAAAGGGCCATAATTCTGTTAAATTTGGTTGCAGCAAAAATTCCTTACTTTAAAACCATCTACACATTAAGGTTGTTCATCCCTGGAAGTTTAAGCAAAATCTGCCATTTGGTTTAAGAGGAGTTGCATTCACAAAATTTCTACATAGTATATAGTGAAAAAAATCAACAAAGGGCCATAATTCTGTAAAATTTGGTCGCAGCGAAAATTCCTTCCTTTACTACCATCTACACCTTAAGATTGTTCATCCCTGTAAGTTTAAGCAAAATCTGCCACCCGGTTTAAGAGGAGTTGCGTTCACAAAATTTCTACATAGTATATAGTGAAAAAATCAACAAAGGGCCATAATTCTGTAAAATTTGGTCGCATCAAAATTCCTTCCTTTACTACCATCTACACCTTAAGGTTGTTCATCCCTGTAAGTTTAAGCAAAATCTGCCATCAGGTTTAAAGAGGAGTTGTGGTCACAAAATTTCTACATAGTATATAGTGAAAAAATCAACAAAGGGCCATAATTCTGTTAAATTTGGTCGCAGCAAAAATTCCTTCCTTTACTACCATCTACACATTAAGGTTGTTCATCCCTGTAAGTTTAAGCAAAATCTGTCATCCGGTTTAAGAGGAGTTGCGTTCACAAAATTTCTATATAGTATCTAGTAAAAAAATCAACAAAGGGCCATAATTCTGTTAAATTTGGTCACAGCAAAAATTCCTTCCTTTACTACCATCTACATGTTAAGGTTGTTCATCCCTGTAAGTTTAAGCAAAATCTGCCATCCGGTTTAAGAGGAGTTGCGTTCACAAGATTTTGGGACGTACGGACGGACGGACGGACGGACGGACGGACGGACAAGTGCAACGCTATATGCACCCACATTGTGGGGGCATAAAAACAATGCCAAGTCTAAACGATGCTTGACGCCTTTATTAACTTGTGAACATAATGTAGAT